AATCACACGTTTTCATCAAATCACCATTTCAAAATACATTTTTATTAAAATAAAAATAAAAATATGGGACTCAAACAAGTTCTTGATATGCATCAACATTTGTAAGACATTTTAAATTAGCAATTAAAGAATTTTTAGTCTTTTAAGCTAATGTTTGACAACTATTAAAAAAAAAAAAAATCTTTTGCTTTTTCTTAAATTTATTTTCAATCAAATATTTTTACGATAAAATATTTTGCCCGTAAAATTTTTTCATACTTTTAATCGCACATCCTAACCACTATTTTAAAATTAATTTTTCTCAAAAAACACATCTAAATGATTACCAATCAGGAGTTAAATATTAACCATTGGTTAAAAAAAAAAAAATTGACCCTTATTTGCATGAATAAAGGAAATGTGTGGCAGTATAAATTAGGCCTTCTGCTTCGTCAACAGAGTACCCATTGGCTCAGATTCAAAGAATTAGGGTTTGAGAGAGATTGGGGGTTTCTTCAAGGGTGGTTAACCTCTCTCTGTTTACCCAATGATTTCTCCATTTTCAGAAACAAACAGCCCTTGAACAAAAGAAAAGCCATGGAAATGGCTTGATTATTTATAAATTATTTATTAGATAAACCAAACAGGGGCTTAATATGAAATATATATCCACACGCAGATCTATAATTACTTGGCTAAGCTTGGAAGTTTCAGTGCTCTGTAATTATCTCTTCTTCTAAGGGGCTGTGATGATTTTTCTCTTTTTGTTTCTGAGCTAATGGATAAGGTATAGAGATGATCCGAACCGTATCTTGGCGTGGCAATCCTGGATGGCTCTGTGAGAAGCAACCAGTGGTTTGCAGCCATGGCGAGTTCAGTTTCACTTTGCCTTCTTATTTTTCACAGATCTGAGCCTCAATTTATTTTCTGAAGCATCTTTACAATTTTAATTATGAAAATTTATTTCCTCATTTTTGGTTTAGGAAAATTTCTTGAATTTTTTTTCTCTTGTTGACAAAAAGTATTACAGGGAAGAAATATCTTTTATTGAGTTTCTTTTATTCAGTTTTTGCCTTTGTTAAAGAATGAGTTTTTGAATAATGAATTTTGAAGAATGTGTGGTTAAGATTTAAGAAAATGTTTTTAATTTACGCGTAATATTATTTTATTGAAAAATATGAGATTGAAAATGAATAAATAAAAAAAAAAAAAAAAACAACCCCTTTATTCACAGATATGAGCCATCATTAATTTATTTTTCTATAACTATTTTAAAATTTTAAATTTTTTGCACATTTGGTTGACTATTTTTTATTTATTTAATTTTTGGATTTAGTGTAATTTTGAAAATTTATTGGAGTTTTGACTATTTAAAAAAGGATTAAACTAATCATAAGTACACCTTGATAAACAATTTCAATGTCAAAATCAGTCCGTTGATCAAAGAAAGTATTATCAAGATCAATTTGTCAAAATTTACTAACTTGGATTTAAGTCATTGTATCCACCTTTACGTACATGTAGATCGGCTTACCCATAAAAATTGATGCAAACTGATGTCTTGGTCGGATCGGTTTGGACAGTAATTCGGATAATTTGTCCATCCCTGAAAATTGTTCTTAGAGATCATATAATTCAACACGAGGTTATCGGTGTCACTTCCTAATGATGCATACATATGGATCGATCCTACATAATTCATAAGTCTAACTTGACTTAAGCCTTCTCAAACAGTTTTCATAAGTTCACAGATCGTCAAGATTTAAGCCATTGAATTCAAAAAATTGTTTTTGAAATGATTGACCTAGATATTGTTAACACATATAGCGTGTCTGGGTGCACTATTAATCAAAAGTCGGACTGATAATAATTCAAAATCGGACCGTTGCTCTTTTTTTTTTATTCAAGTTCATCTGACAAGAAGACTGAAGAAGTTAGGCCATAAGATGAGATTGTCTCAATTTACCCTCGCCTCCATTACACGTCTCAAAGAATGGGCCCATATGATTTGACATGAAAATTGATTTTCTATTCCAAAATCGCGCACAGACACGCATATAGTTCGTAAATCGAGTTTGTCAAACTTGTACATGATTATAAAGAAAATGGGTGATAAAAGGTTAAAAAGAGTGCATTTCTTCGGAGTATTGCTTGCTTCTCTCACTTTAGAAAATTTTATTTATAGAGACATTTTGATCAAAGTTAATATAATATATGAATAAAATTGAAAATTTTGATCAATTTAAAGGTTAATAAAACTTTAACACAATTCCATCAAGCACTAAGCCCCGGTTTAAGCTCGAAGATTGAAATTAGATTTTTTTGTAGATTTTTATAAAAATTGACGAAATGTGTGACCGAAAAATTGTGAACCCATAAAATATGTAAATATGTGATTAAAATTAATTATTAACTTTAATTTAAAATTTTAATTGAATTTTAACAAGATCCATGGAGAACTCGGTCTTTCCGTCAGCTTCTTAATTAATTGGGCAATTTAAGAAATCCCCGAAATAAATCGTCCAAATTTTAATTAACTTTCAAAATTACTTACTGTTTAAAAATAGAAAATTTTGGAAGAAAATTGAAATGAGGCTCAGATCTGTGAATAATCAGGCAAAGAGAATGCAAGTTCGCCATGGCTGCAAATCATTGGTTGCATGCGATGAAGATCACATCGCCATCCACAGTTGCCACGCCAAGATACGAATCTAATTATCTCAATGCCCGATCCATTAGCTCAGAAAAAAATAAAAGGAAAAATCGTCACAGCCTCTTCTTATTCAACAGGAAATTAACAGAACAGATGGTGAAAAAAAAGCTTTATTCACAACCCTATATTTGGGAAGCGATAAATATCCGAGCGCTCGCAGTTACCAAACCAAGCCAAGCCAAGCCAAAACTAGGATTATTGTTGGTTTGAGTGTGAATGAAAGGGAAGCATGTACTTGTTCTTCTGCTTCTGGGTTTCCAAGTTAAAGGGCTGTTAGTTTTAGAAAATGGAGAAATCATTGGGTAAACAGAGAGGGGTAACCACCCTTGGAGAAATCCCCAATCTCTCTAACCCTAATTCTCTTTTTTTCTGAGCTAATGGTGCTTCGTCGTCAATGAAGCAGAATGCCGTATTTATACTGCCCTACATTTCCTTCCTTGCCCATCTTCTCTGGTTCATTCTTGGTCTATTTTACAGGGGCATTCTGGTAAATGGGTAAGCAAAGGTCTTTTGCTTTTTATTTATTTTTTCGTTATATTTTATTTATTACCATTTTACCTCTTTCTGTTACCATTAGACTTGTTTGATCGCAATGAATTCCACAAAAAAGTCACATTAAAAAAAAACGAATTTAACTTTGACCGTTTGATTGCAACGTGAAAATGGAAATCGAATTCTAAGGTACAACCACTTTAAACTGTATTTTCGTTGTTTTCATGGAAAACGAATTCCTATGAGTTTGGTTGATTTTTATTTTCCAATTAATATGGAATTAGAATTTTTTTCCACCTTTACCTATCAAACTGACTTTTAGTAAAATACTTTTGTTTGTTTGGACCGATCAGTCGAGCTGAGTTTAATTATTTAATTTGGCTTTGATGCAAAGACACACGTCAAAGAAACCCGCGAAAATAAAAAAATTTCACTTAGAAATTTTTTTTACTATTTATTTGAAAAGAAATTATTGATACGAATAATGTGTTGGTGCTCATTTTCCACATACAATGTCACAGGTGCATTTGCTTTGATCTGGTCCAACATCTACACACTTAACATTAGTGGGCATGACACTTGCTGGATATTGGTCCAATACTATAAACAAGCATTCTTGTCCTACATTGGCACATCCACCTTCCCTTGCAATACTTGGAGCCGGGCAATACTTTAGTCCTGTCATGTAAACATAAAAAAACATAGCATAAAGACATGTAACATTTTCAAGAAAATTAAGGAAATATCATGGTACCTAGAGACAGAGTGAAACAAGTCGACAAAGTCATTAGAGAAACAAAGCAAATCACAATTGAGTTCTTCGTCATCTTTAATTAAATATAGTCTTATTTTTTGTAGAGAAGATGAATTTGTTTGGGATGAGATGAGAGTTGAGACCTGAGACCTCTTTTATAGCTGTTTGGATCGTGATATAATTAATTTGAGTAATGTTATGTAATCTCATTGAGATTACAATTCCAGGATATGTGACGCTAGATGATATGCTAAAAGAAATGTGGAATTAAAAATCTCACATATCATTTAATGTCATATTAACGTCACTTAAACTGAGATTGTAACACTAATGATGCTAAATAGTATTACTCAATTAATCTTGATTGTTCGAATTTGAATCGATTTAGTAAATTGTTAGTTGAGCAATGAATTACTGAGCAAGAGACTAATTAATTGTAGCTACCCAATTTATTATTAACGTTGACTCAATTTAATATGACAAGTAGGATCTAGCTTGCAATAAGTTTGGGTACTAACGCTAAATATCATAAAAACAAACTATGTGGAATACAATTAGATTGTTATAGGTACACTACTATCTCTTTTTTACATTAAAATGAATCAAGAAAACAAAGACTATGTTTAATGCTTCTCCAACGCTGCAATGGATTGCTTAAAAAAGATGGC